CACATGATAGGAAACAGACACCTAAGCCTCCAGTGAGGTAAAACTCAAACATATGAGGAACCCTCCAATCCTAGAGCACTGGATACTTAATCTGTGGCTAACAAGAGAAATATGAATGGAGTCATCCATGAACAGAAGATGACTCATGACAAGTGACAGAATTGACATAAATTTATTGTTTTTACTGATATTCAGCAAGTCGTGATAATCTTTGAGCTTGACCTTCTCTATTTATTCCCTGCTACCTCAATCCCCATTTTTTCCTTGAGAGATTGTCCTTATTTTTACATGATGAATGATTTACTACTAAAAGTCAAAAGGTATCACTTGGTATCATGAGACTATCAACAGAAAGCAAATAGGTTAAAATTCGATGTTACCATATTCACTGGGCTTTTCCTTCCAATATTTTTAATGTTCCTTTTTATGGCTACTTTTAAAACACCAAATATTTTCTTCATGGTTTCAAATTTATCTTCTGAAACTACAACCAGAAAATGGAAATGATAAGATTTCATTTTATTTACAAAATTGCATTTTCATGAAAGCTACTGAAGCAATTCTTTAAAGGCAAATTATACAGGAACATATGAGCAATTTGATGAAGAAGTGTTTCCAACCACACATTAAAAGTAATTTGTCTTATTTTGCCAGATAGTTTTAATAATCTAATTGTTTCATCAGAAACATCAGAGGGTTTGATGCATTTGTTTTCCATGTATTTGTGGCCCTAGTAATATAGGGTGAAGGATGATGGGGTAAAAACTCTTCCTCACTTTCCACTTCTAATGAATTTATTTCTCCTCTGAGCTTACCCTGGGAAAGAGTTGAATAGGATCATTTGGACAGAATAAAGTAATTTGGGCACTGGGGCTCTGGAGCGGGATGAATGTGTGAACATTTTAATAGTCATGTATTTGCACATGTTTTTAATTTTAAAAGTATAGAAATCATATAAAACCTTAACTAAAGCCCTTAAGCTTTATCCATTAATTATTTTTCATTCATTTATTAAAAAAGTAAGAACGAACATCCTCATTATTGCCGGGAACTGTCCTCGGTGCTGACCATGTGTATTCTGTCAATGGTATTGTGCCCTTACTAGTGTTTAATTTCTCTCTTATAAGATATCCTAGGATCTTTGTAGGATGCCATTTGAGAAAATTGCTTTACCCTAGAGGGAAACATGGATTAAAATAATTTATAAGCTGAGAGAAAAGGGCATGACTTCTAAAACTTCATGGCAAATCACAAATGCCCTTAATACCATAACCTAGTTTAAGAAATTAATATAAATTTGCAATTTTGAAAGAGTTGTCTGGACACACGTATTGTTTTTAAATAATAATGTCTGCAACATGAGACATAGTGATATTTCAAAGTTGCCATACCTCTATTAATCATTTGAGCGAAAATTCATAATTTCAAATAAAGGTCAAAATAATGTATAATGTTAAATCAAAATAAATCTTAAAGGGAATGATGTAGAAATTATATAATTCTGATATTTTTTCTTAAATAGAGTCTGAAGGAAAGTTATATTCAATATAAAAATAAGTTTGTATATCTTCAAAACAGAAATTTCTTGAAACATAAAACTTACAACCACTGTTCCCAGAAAGCGGTGATCTAAGTTTGTATGGTTAATGCGCTGATACGGTAAGCAGGGTGATACTTTCCAGAGATTCTTAAAGACAAAACTTGTGTTCAGACCCATTTTGTGTGTTATGATTAGATATGGGATATACACTGTGTCGTGACAAATGCACCTATACTCCTATCTGTAATTATGTTACTTTTAAAATTATGTCTGGGAAATTTAAAAACTTCATTATAGAATAAAACATTGACATATTTGTTTTCCTTCTCAGATGTTATGTTAACCGAGTGATCTTTCCACAGAGAATGGATAGACTCTGACATAATTTTTTGCTTTTCTCTGTCACAGTGTTTCAAATTCGTTTGCACCAAGCTGAGGTTCCTCTTTCAACAGTACAGATAGAGATCTGGAGAATCCTCCATCCATTCTCCCACTTTGTTCTTGATATAGCTTGGATATTTGCCAAAACCTCATGTTGAATTATAATCACCAATGCTTGAGGTGGGGTCCAGTGGGAGATATTTGGATCATGAGGGCTGATCTTGCATGGCTTGGGGCTGTCTTCATGAGAATGAGTACTTGCAGGGTCTGGTAATTTAAAAGTATGTGGCACCTTCCCCTCACTCTCTCACTTGCTTCCATTCTTGTCATGTGATATGCCTGCTCCCTCTTTGCCTTCTACCATGATAGGAAGCTTCCTGAGGCCTCTCCAGAAGCAGGTGTTGCTGTGCTTCCTATATAGCCTGCAGAACCATAGGCCAATTAAACCTATTTTCTTATAAACTAGCCTCAGGTATTTATTTATAGCAATGCAACTTTAAGTCATTTATTTTCTTGTGCATCTGAGTCTCAGCTGTTAGGAGTGGCCAAGGAAACATCTTGTATGCTTTGCTGCTTAGAAGTTTTCTGTGCCAGATACCCTAGGTCATTACTCTGAAGTTAAAACTTCTACACCCTAGGGCATGAACACAATGCAGCCAAGTTCTTTGCTAAGGCATAATGTGTAATCTTTGCTCTAGTTTTTAATGATTTCATTTCCATCTGAGACCTTGTAAGTTTGGCCTTCACTGTCCGTATCACTATCAGAGTTTTAGTCACAGCCATTTAATGATTCTCTAAGCCTAAATTCCAAACCTTTCCCATCTTCCAGTCTCTTCTGAGCTCTCCAAATTCTTTCAACCACTACCTCTTATCCAGTTCTAAAGATGTGTCCATATTTTCAGGTGTCTCTATAGCAATGCCCCATTCTGCAGTACCAAGTTTCTGTGTTGGGGCATTTTTGCATTGCTATGAATCATTTAGGCTTTAAGATGAACAGCATTTGAAGTACTTCTTACTGACAGTCTGGAAAGCAGATGTGAGAAACAAAAGAGGTGGATTAGAAAAAAGCTAATAGAGGGGGACACAGTGATGTGTCGAGTTGGCTGAAACCTAGCTACACAAGGATATTCACATGGAATTGCTTGAAGGATAGCATAGCCAACATATATACATCATGTGTTAAGCAGTGATTTTATTCCATTTCAAAGAAATGGTTTTGATCTGATTAACAGAATGATCAAACAGAGCAATGCATATAATTTGTTTCTCAGTCTATTCACAGTCATAATATAGACTAGCGAGACACTGGGAATACCCATATTTCCTCTTATGCAAAAGCTATGTTCTATCCTGAGTACTCCACACAGAGCATACAAACAGACAACCAATACTTTCTGGGCAAAATACTTGTCTATCAAGACTCTTGTGACAGTTCATTCCTGCTTCCACATTCTGCCATAAAAAATAAGAAATTCTAGAAAGACATGAAATTTTCAATATGATTCATTGTCATTAATTCATGTGTTCAAAATATTTACTAGTTGGCAACTATTCTAGCTGCAGGGTTATAATCCTTTATCAATGATAGTGTATGGAATAATGTTTTTTTAGGATTCATAACCTGAGAATGTGTCAGTTAGGCAAGGGCCTTTGAGAAAAATCCACTGTATCAGAGAAATCACTGGAGGAGGATACTTCAAATCAGTTACTGATGTAGTAAAATAGGGCTTCTTAAAATGTGGGAAAAAATACATTTCCCACGTCATGCTATTGAAAGTTTTAAAAATAATGAATACTTTTCTTTGAACTATCTGGAGTGCTTGCAGTCACATGTGTTGATATTTAAGAATATTGTGTGAATCATACATAGGATATTCAGAGACATTGCTTCTCACTTATGTTTTGTGAATGGAGATTCCTATTCCTTGTTATGTTGGCTTGGAGAAGAAAGCTAGTATAATTAAGGCCAGGTGCAGTGGCTTATGCCTGTAATCCCAACACTTTGGGAGGCCAAGGTGTGTGGATCATGTCAGGTTAGGAGCTTGAGACCAGCCTGGCCAACATGGTGAAACCTTGCCTCTAGTAAAAATACAAAAAATTAGCCAGGCATGGTAGTGCATGGCTATAATTCCAGCTACTCAAGAGGCTGAGGCTGGAAGATCGCTTGCATCCAGGAGGCAAAAGTTGCAGTGAGCCAAGATTGCACCACTGTACTCCAGCCTGGGCAACAAGAGCAAAACTCCATCTCAAAACAAAAAGAAATAAACAAAAAATCAAGAATAATTCAGAAAAGAAGTTTTGTTTTCTTTAAATTAGAAATTAGGTGAACAAGGTTAATATATCCTAATGTAAGGGAAAAGCAGACCTGGGATATATGTTGTCCTCTTTTGCTATAGAACTGAGAGGAGCAGTAAGAAGTGTGTGAAGCAGAATGAACAATTTCTATTCACCTGAAGCCATAGATCTGAATGATACAACCTAGCTGTATGGTTTTAGAAAGACAGCCCTAGCATACGTTGACAGAAAATGGCACTATTATTGTATGAAATGACATTCAGCTTGTTTATGTGTAGGTAATAATACCACCTATAGGTACATTTGAAAACAGTTTTTATACCCATGTTATTATAATGGACTGATGGTTATGTATTATCTCTTTTGAAACACTGTCATCTCAGAATAGCATGAAAAGCACTGCCCAAAGGCAGTTTCTCTCAGTTCCATACAAATTAATGAATAGAGTAGAACAATCCTGAATGAGAAAACAATTCATTTAAATAGAACTGATTTTTTCATATGAAAGATACTCATTGAAAATATAAATTTTCTTGGTAGCACAATATTAAAGATAAAAGTTATCTATGAATTTTGACACAGTTTTGGCTCTTTCCATGAAGCGAGAAGCATTACGGGTCTGAACTTTGTGTTTTGCGAGTTCACCTACATGAGCTATCAGAGTTTGTATGGCAAATATAATTACTCTTGTGAAAAATTACAGAAACAGAATCAGGAAGTCAAGGTGGAGGAGTGCAATAGAGAGAAGTGGTCTGGGTGTTCCTCAGTGGAATCCATGAGGTCATTACCTGGCAGAGCAAGATGGTTGACAGCCATGTCCACACCTGCCATACTCAGCCACAGCCACAGTCCTTCCCATGGCCACAGCCCAGGCTGCCAGAAAGATGGCTCTAAAGGACATGGTGTTCAGGAGTGGATGTTTCAGTTGTGGATCAGGGAATTATTTTTCTCAATTTGAATGTCACCATCTGTAAATGAAATTTTATACACCTTCAGTAGTGTATGAGGCAGTTTAGTTTCACGTTTCAGAGAAAGCTGCAGAATAAAACTTCACAAAATTTGTTTCAATAAGTAGAGACACCCTTATACAAATGCAACTATTTTGTCTGAAACTCAATAATAATGTTACATGCCCTTAATTAGAGATGCTTCCTGTGTCTTGGTGATCTTCTCACTCTTTTTTTGTTATTAAAGTCTAGATCAGTTTCCTTGACATGTTATCAATATGCAAGCCCTTTGATCCCATTTTTTTTCCATTTCTTGTAATTATTTCTACTGGGCAGTCAAATATGAAATCAGAAACCGGAAGTATATCTATTTGAGTGAGGAAGTGATACAAATGGAAAGTTTTCTGAAGTAAAATGTCTTGTAATTACACACTTTCTTTCCTTCAGGCAAACAAATTTTTATCCCAAATAATATTTTCTATTGATTATTAACAATAAACTGACCAAATTTATAATAAAATGCTACTATAAAGTCACATATGTGTTTTTTTATCTTGAGAGTTTTATTTATTTCTCAGCATGACTTTGTTTCTATGTGAGATTACTGTAATCATTTATTTAGAAATTGAAATACTGGTGTGAGGTCTCCCACATCTCACTTCTCAGGTTCTCATATTTTCAAATTTGTTTTGATGTTGTCTTTGGACTTCTCCAGAAAAGTGTTCTTGAGACAGTGGCAGAGAAATATATGAAATATGGTAGTGGATCCATATAACCATCACCTGTGGGAATAAGGAGTATTTGTTGTAAACAAGTAAAGACATATATCTAATTACTAAGCTAAGAACTAAGTACAAACATCTAAGTAAACATACATCTAAAACTAAGCTTGATCTAGAGAACTGCCTGCTCTAAGTTTTAGCTTGAATATTTAAATTTAATAGTTTGGCATTTTTCTCTGACACTCTTAAAGCCAATCGATGTTGTTATTTTAAAAAAATAAAGAATATAGTGGCTCTCTTATTGCCTAAACAAAATCACACACTAATCCACAGTAACAATCAAGTGGACATACATAAATACGTACGTACATTTTAAAAGATGCTTATATATTACAAAGAATCTTATTATGATGTTTTGATATAACTGACCTGAGATGCTCATTATAGTACTATGCTGGTTAACAATATTGCTTGCCAAACTTGATGGACTCTAGCTGTAATAACAATGAATAGTTGCTTGCTTATCAGTATTCTCCCCCTTCTTTGAATATAATAGTTCTTTTTTTTCTGGGCATTATTAACTTAGGAAAAAACAAAAACCCGAAGTTTCCCAAGCTTCTTTGAAACCCACTGTAGTCATGTGATGAAGTTCTGAACAATGGAAAAAATGTAAGGTATTATGTGATGGCTTTCTGGAACTTTCCTTAAGATTCAAGTTGTATGGAGCCTTCAACATTTTCTTTGCATATTTTTTGTTCCTCTTCCCTAGGACACAAATGCCACCATCTTTGACTATAAAGATGAAGGTCACATCCTATGAATGATGAAGTAGTGATTTAGAATGAGTCTAGGTCACTGAGGACTACAAACCAGCTAGAGATGGTTTAAATCCAGACTTTGACTATGTGAGAGAAAAACATATTCTTAAAATGTATACTATTTCTATCACTTGAAATAAATTCTACTCCTCACCAATACAACAATATAGAAAAAGGAATGAGAAAATTGTACTAGGAACCAAACTTTAGACAGTGTTTCTACTTAAAAATTAAATATATCCCTGGGAACAATGGCAGCAAATATAAAAAAAGAAAAGCCACAGGCTATATTATTCTCTTTGAAAAGAACCTCAATTATTCTATACAGATCAATTGCCTCTAGGAAGTAAATTTTAAGTGGGATTAGTCACTTGAGTTCTTTTATTTGAGGTAGTGATGACTTTGTCACCTTTTCAAAGAATCCTTGTTAGAATATGCATCTATCATTTGAACCATACTTTTAAAAACCAACATACAGAGAGTCAAAGAGCATCGTGTTATTTCCTAATTAAATAACTCCCATATTTGAGGATTTAAACCAAAATATTTCAGGCATGCTTCTGCCTCAAGTAACCTACCACCAAGAAATAATGGTGGATAGGATTAGTCTGTTCAGAGTAATAATTTTTCAATTATTTGGTCACAAAAAACTTACTGGGGATCCCAAAAAGCCATTGTTTATGTGTTATATTTACTCATATTTCATCTATTTTTAAAATTAAAACTGATGATTTCAAGATATGAGTTAATTCATTTCAAAATAAGTCATAATTTTATATTTTTAGAAATATTTTTTATACCAAAAACTTATTAGGAATAGTGGAATGTTTTACATGCTGTGTCAATCTCCTTAATGTCTGGCTTAATGGAAGACAGCTTCTCATATCGATTTTGCATTTAGTCTGTTGTGATAACAGACATATTTCTGGAAAATTCCTGTGTTCATTCATGAATATATGGCAGTAAAAATGAAAAATATTATGAAAATAATTTTGCCCCTGTTGAGATCTCAAAAGGGTCTTTGGTTCCCACGTGTGTCCTTAGACCACACCTTGAGAAATTTTGGTCAAGAGCAGTGATCTTCAAACCTGTGAGATGAGAAAACCATACTGTAAATACTTTCAGCCTGCATTCCTCATTTTAATTCAACTATTTATTTATAAATTTTATGCATTGTTAATTATAAATAATCATTAACAATAACACATATACAATATGTATGATAGTAAATACATTCTTTGAGGTATGCTTTAATATTTTAGAAAATTTTGGATTAAGAACTGGCAATGGATAGATTTGGAGTTCTGGTTCTAAATTCATTTTATTTTATATACTTGACAATATATATTGTTTGCTATATTCACAAAATGATGATGTAAACTTTTAATCCCACTATCTAGTATAACTTTTTAAAAAAATTTTCACTAATAAGTGTCGTTTCCTTAATGTCAATGGTTTGTTTTTACAGATTAACTGAGAAGTTTTGTTTTCAGACGATGTAGTCAAAACTTAATAAAACTCTTTCATTTGGAAAAAATTAAAAACTCAATTAGAATATTCTGTTACCAGGTTCAAATAGTACACAAATACCAGAGTTGTATAAAGTATACCACTAGATAAAATTTAGTAATGTTACAACTGAAACCATCTCCAATATTCATGAAAAAATGCTCTCTCCTGATATAGCAGCATGACTAGAATACTTTAGAAACTGTTACATGAATGCAGTAAAATATGAAATGAACTTCATGATCAAAATTGTCTATCATAAAGAGATTTCCTATAAAGACATCCAGGTCCAAGACATATCACAGACTTCCTGTATGCCATTTCACACTGCATCAGGCAACTGAGAGGCTTCATTGTGATGAAGCTACCAGAAGGCACACCACTTGGAAAATTCATGGAAGCCGTCACTTAAAATGTGTGTGTGTTTCTCTGTGCTCTGGAGAAAAAAGGACCGACAGTCAGCAGCATGCAGCCACCAGACTTAGGTGTGTTGCTTGTCAATAGAAGCTAGGCATAGAAATTGTTTGAAGAGAAAGCAATGAACTATGTCCCCACGGAAGCTCAGTTCTAAATACTGTGAGACATACATAGATGAACAAAAAGTGGAAAAATAAAATAAGATGTAGTGTCAACCCCTTGGGATAGTAATTACGCATAGATTTCCATCTGACCATCATCCACATGCAAATTTGACAATGAAAATAATAAACATGAAAACACACTGTATTTGCAAACAGACTAAAGTTATTTAGAGGCCTTAAGAAACAAAGGGAAAATTTAGTTGCATTTATCGTCTTCAACAATAGAACCAGAGAAAGAGAACATCTATAGTTCTTCGGTAATAGCTTAGATTTAGGTTTCTGGTACTTTGGAGACACAGGATCAGATGAACAAGAGCAGCATGAGAATCCAAGTTTCACAAGCAGAGAAATCAGGTGAGTTCTAGAGTTATTCAGTAGAATCCAAATGAGCAATATCTTCCATAGCAAGATGGGTGGCAGCAGCTGTTTCCATAGCCTCCATAGCCAGGATAACCACAGCCGTAGCCACAGCCATAGCCACGGCCAAACCCACTGTATCTGTAGCCACCATAGTAGTTGCCACAGTAAATCATGATGTCAGAAATGGATGGTTCAGGTACAGAAGAGGATGTTCTTGAACTTGAACATCTCCATCTTCACAGGTCTTTTATGATTCCTCAGTAGTAGGTGTGGCAAATCACAGGCAATGTTGCTCTTATGAATTATTTTGGGTTGACCACTAATGCCACCAAAGCAAAGCTCTCATAAATATCTTATTTCATTAGGCATAGTGAAGCCTTCATAGCTAGGATTCCTCTATTGTTGTTCCAAGATTTTCACAATCAAAGAATGCTATTTGAATGATAGATTTTTTAACCTGATTTTAAAATCCTTTTTCTTTGAGAGCACATACTAAAATTTCACGATGAGATTCTAAGAAATAACAGAAACTATGTAAATCTCATCTGATTCAAATTAGTTTTGGTTTGGTAACTCCCTTATATTCATCTACCAGTTGCAGTTGAAGAAGCCTGTCTGCATGGCTTTGGGGAGATAGAAATGCTTAAGGGGCAAGTCTTTGGAGTGTGAGATCTGTAATAATACCCAATATTTCTTCAGAGATAGAACAGTTTATCTTACTTTAAATACATAATTCAGGTGACATTTCTTTTTTTTTTGAGATGGAGTTTCACTCCTGTTACCCAGGCTGGAGTGCAATGGCATGATCTTGGCTCACTGCAACCTCTGCCTCCTGGGTTCAGGCAATTCTCCTGCCTCAGCCTCCCGAGTAGCTGGGATTACCGGCATGTGCCACCATGCCCAGCTAATTTTTTTGGTATTTTTAGTAGAGATGGGGTTTCACCATGTTGACCAGGATGGTCTCGATCTCTTGACCTCATGATCCACCCACCTCAGCCTCCCAAAGTGCTGGGATTACAGGCTTGAGCCACTGCGCCTGGCTCAGGTGACATTTTTACAAGATACAACTTTACAAATGTACAAATACACTTTATTTTGCTTTTATATCAAATTCTATCTTGATTCATTATTTCCACTAAGTGGCAAAACATTTATTCTTGTCCCTTCGAAGTAAACTCAACAAAATTCAATCACTTTCTGGTTGTCAGGATTAAAATACAATTGCAATAAAGACATTATCACTCCTCATTCTCCACCTGAGATGTACCTCAATGTGCAGTGGTATCCTGTCGGTTTTGAGGAGGACCATACCTGTCCCACATTGATATCTGTGGATGGCATAACACATATTGCCATAAAAATAAAACTCTACTCAATCCATTACCTCGCATTAAGTGTTACAGCCTTGTTCTACAGCCAAAAAAGTCTTGGGTTGTTGTAAAAAAAATCAACGAGTCTCCATTCAAATCCACCTGGATGAGAACCAGTCATTATATCTCCACCTGCTTGTGCTATGTTTGTTGGGGAACTCGGTAGGACTTGCTCCTTCTCAATAAGACCAGATGTGACTTTCTCTATTTTTAGATGTACATCCTCAATGCAGTTTCTCTTTCCTTCAGCTTCAAGGATGTAAGGCCCCTAAATGAGAACTTAGGCATGCCTGAGTTCTCTTATTCAATTGATCAACTCTCTACCGAAGTTTCTATCCAGAAAAACAGTAATGGATGAAAGAAATAAAGACAGAAAAACTTATTCTAGTATTCTAGTTTTTATTATGAACCAAGCACTGTTCTAAGTGTCTGGTAGGTAGCAAAAGATTTGATTCTCAAAATTTCCTTGTGGGGTAGCTATCATTATTGCAACCCAATTTGCAGATGGGGCAACTGAAGCATGTGGTTAACAGTAGAGGTAAAATTTGAGCCTAGAAAGCTCATCACAGACATTTTACTCTTATCTACTATTTTAAACCCACTCTCAAAAAGTCTTCTTACTAAGAATATAGGTCTAGAAGACTATTTGACTTAATCATTCAATTTAGCTCTGATATTCACTGCTTTGAATAAAGATTGGCCTATAGCATCATGTTTCTCATAGTCTCATATTTTGCCAAAGACTTCTTGTTTGATGGTGGAAATATACTAGGTTGTATGAGATGATCCTTCTGCCAATATTATTGTTTTAAATATGAGAATACCTATACTCATTTTGAGCCAGAACACAAATATGACAAATGTCTTGAAATTTCAGGAAAATTTTGTAAAAATACAATTTTGTAAATAAAATGAAATCCCGTTGATTACAAATTTGAAACTATGGGAAAGAACGTTGCTTTAAAACAGAGTTACAAAAGGAAGTATTGATGTGAGAAAGAAAAGTGTGGTTTTCTCATGCCTGGTATTTCAGAATTTCAAACTATTGGCTTTGTGTCAACAGTCTCTGGAAGCTGAGTGACACCTTTTGGCTTTTAATAGAAAAATATCACTTATGTGGAAATGAGAAGAATTCCTAAAGGAAAACAATGAATTTGGAGCGGCAGGAAAGAGATGGACAAACTCAAGCTCAAGGGAGATTACCGTAACCTGTTGAATGTCAGCAAAAATAAGGTAAAATTATTGGTTGTTTTGAACAGACCAGTTTGCTTACTCATATGCTATTTCTTTACATAAAGTTTGGTTGGGAAATGGTAATTTGAATGTCTGGTGTGAGTAGAATTTTAAAGGTCAGACAGTTGATGCTTATTAAAGTGGTACAAATGATTCAGATGTGGCTAAACAATAGAAAATGTTTTAAATGCCACAAGGTCCTGCTTGAAAAACAAGAGTCAACAAATTACTCACACTGGTCCTTCAAATTAGCCAATGGCATGGCTTGTGTGTGGTTCCCACCCACTCTGAGGCATATATAAGGCCCTCTGCAAGGGAAGTGTTCATACTGAAGTCACCTACACTTCCTCCTACCCAAGGACAACCTCTACAACCATCACCATGTGTGGCAGCTACTATGGAAACTACTATGGCGGCCGTGGCTATGGGTGCTGTGGCTATGGAGGTCTGGGCTGTGGCTATGGAGGCCTGGGCTATGGCTACGGAGGCCTGGGCTGTGGCTATGGCTCCTGCTGTGGCTTCCGCAGACTGGGCTGTGGCTACGGCTGTGGCTATGGCTATGGCTCCCGCTCCCTCTGTGGCTGTGGCTATGGATGCGGCTCTGGCTATGGCTCCGGCTTTGGCTGCTGCTATTGAGGACACCATGCGAGACTCTTACCCTGTATCCTGATATTGAGATTCATTAATTCTGAAGCCTACATGTTCTGAGCCTTTCCCTTGAGTGCTGATATCCTGCAATGGAAGTCTAATATGGTCTGTTGTTGAGCTGCTGTCTGACCTACAAATATCTTGAATTTCCATCATGAAATGGGATAAGGTGAAATTCACCAGTCAGTTCTCCTTTCATTAGAATGATGGTGTCATAGCATCTGCCTTGATGACTTTTATGCTGGAGCTTGTTTCTCTGTTCACCTAATAAACACATTTAATACAGAAAGAAACCTGGTGTTCATCTCAGTCATTTAATATGTAAAATTTCTTACCCACAGTTTTTGTTTCTGTTTGCATGAAAGCTAATAATTCAATTCTTAGGGAGATATTTTTTCTTACAATTTCTAGAGAGGTTTCTTTACCAATTCAAAGTTCAATTGTTTTAGAAGAGTAACCCTTTTAATAAATTTCAGTTTCCTCCTTTGCTTCTGGGGGAAGAATATATGTTGTGCTGGGGAACTCTCAACACTAAATTAAGTACATATCATTTACATGTTGGGTTATGCATTGCCTGCCATCTATCACATAATAAAGAAAAAAAATTAATTTTTCCAAACCTTCACATGCATATCTCTCAAAATAAATGAATGCTTGTTACTATATCCTTCACTTTGAATCTTTCGTTTTGAAGAAACTATTTTTTAATGAGACATAACCTAAGGCATAGTTTTATAATCTAGTATAGCCTAAACTAGTAATAGTTTATAAAGCTATTTGGGCTACATGGTGGGCCATAGTAATCAAATAAAATCACTATTTCTGGTATAAACCGAGAAGCTTCAAGATCTCACAAGGCTGCATTTCAAGATGTTTGATGGGGCTGTGTTCGTAGCCAGGGCTTAGCTTGGGAAGGCTTCATTTCCAAGGGCATACCTTTGTTAGCAGAATTCAGTTCCTTGCAGTTGTAGGACTAAAGGACTAATTTTCTTGTTGGCTCTTTGTTGCAGTGCCTTGCAAGCTGTCTTTTGGAGGCTACCATCAGCTCCAATAGGATGCTCACAGATCCTTGTCAAAGAAGTTTCCAAACGTAATTGCATACTTTCTCAAAACCAGAAGGGAGGGTAAGAGCCTCCAGCAAGATGGGTGCTACAGTCTTATGTAACACAATCACATAAGCACACATAATCATAAACGTTGGTTAAACACAATGAGTCTCATCCTCACTCACAGGGAGGGGCTCACGCAAGAATATTGACATCGGAGGCAGGAATCATGAGGCATGTTGAGTCTTCTCACTGCAAATTCAATGCATACAGTAGTTTTCCCTCAACCGTAATTTCCATTTCTGCAGTTTCAGTTACCTAAGATCAGCCACTGTGAGAAAATATTAAAATATTTTGAGGGAGAGAAAGAGATGGGTAGGGGGAAGAGTAAAACCATATTTACATAACTTATTTTTACAGTAAGTGTTATGTGTTCATTTTATTATTAGATATTGTTGTTACTCTTACGGTGACTATTTTATAAATTAAACTTAATCATAGGTATGTATGCACAGAAAAAAATAATATATATAGGCTTTGTTACTAACAGTCAAGCATTCACTGGTTGTCTTGGAATGTATCCTTTCAGATAAGGGCTGACTACTACATATCCCTCATAATAGGAATTAGGAAGTCGTCCTTCATTTTAAGTGCTCTTTGACAATTTATACAATATTGGGATTGCTTTGTCTTTAAATATTTGGCAGAACTCTCCTGAAAAATCATCCTGGGTTTGGGCTTTTTTCGTTCTTACTAATTTTTCTTTTTCTTTTTTTTTTCATTTAAAATCTCTGTCCCTTAAAATCTTTTTTTAAAAACAATTTATTTTGGATTCAGGGTACACATACAGATTTGCTACACAGATAAATTTGTGTCACAGGGGTTTGCTGTACAGATTATTTCATCACCCAGATAATAAGCGTAGTATCTGTTAGTTATTTTTCCTGCTTCTCTCTCTCCTTCCACCCTCCACCCTTCAACAGTTCCCACTGTGTGTTCCTCTCTATGTGTCCGAGTGTTCTCATCATTTAGCTCCCATTTATAAGTGATAACATGCGGAGTTTGGTTGTCTGTTCTTAAGTTAGTTTGAGAGGATAATGGCCTCCAACTCTATTCATTTCCCTGCAAAGAACATGATCTTGTTTGTTTCTGTGACTGCATAGTATTCCATGGTGTATATGTACCACATTTTTTTTTATCTAGTCTATCATTGATGGGCATTTATGTTGATTCCATGTCTTTGCTGTTGCTCATAGTGTTGCAATGAACATATCCATGCATGTGTCTTTGTAATAGAATGATTTGCATTCATTTGGGTATATACCCAGTAATGAGATTGCTGGGTCAAATAGCATTTCTGTCTTTAGGTCTTCTAGGAATCACCACAGTCTTCCACAATGGTTGAACTAATTTACACTCCCACCGATAGTATAAAAGCATCCCCTTTTCTCCACAACCTGGCCAGCATCTGTTAGTTTTTTACTTCTTAATATTAATAATCGCCATTCTGACTGGTGTGAGATGGTATCTCATTGTGGTTTTGATTTGCATTTCTCTAATGATCAGTGATGTTGAGCTTTTTTTTCATATGATTGTTGGCTGCATATATGTCTTTTTTGAGAAGTGTCTGTTCACGTTAATTTTTTTCATTAATTTTAAGAAAATTAGAGTGTTTATGATTTCTAAATTGAAAAGTGTCCATTTTGGTCATCTGCACTTCTTCAGGAAATTATCAGTTTAGAGCTCTGAATTATCAAAATAGAGCTCTGAAAAGCAGTCTCAGATAGTGTTTCAAATGTCTTCTGTTTCAATGTTTATTTCCCCCTTACTATTAATTTTGCATATGGTTTCTCAATTTTCTCCTTGATCAAGTAAGCAGGTGGTTTATAAGTATTGTTAATCTTTCAAATAATAGGATTTCATGTCATTACATGTATTTTTTCTTTTTGTACTTCATTAATATAGCTTTCTTTTTATTGTTTTAATCTTTGTGGATTCTTTAGTTTATTTAATTGTCCCTTCTGAAAATATTTGAGCTAAAATATAATTCATATTATATAATTAATGAAATATAATTAATATTTCATATTAATTTATTTTATTGTATTTTTACTGATAATGTGTCAGTGCTATGAATTTTTCCTAACCACTTTTAAACATATTTCTCATAGACTCTATGACAGATCATTTCTGCTGTCATTAATTATTGAAAACTTGTAATTACATTTGCACATCTTCTTTCACCCAATATTTTTAAAATGTAAGGCCTGTTACTTTCTAGGTTAAAGCATGTTTCTGTTTTTTGTTTTTGTTAGTAGTTATTAATATTGTTGTATGACATCAGAAAATACCTTTGCCATTATTTTTGTTTTATAAAACTAATCTTTTCTGCAGGACATTATGTATGACATTTTTGTGGATGTTCTGTGAGAATTGAAGAAAAAAGATATATTATTTATTATCAGGGTATAAAGGTCATTATTATCGGGCATAAAGGTCAGTCTATATAAATGAGAGCTACCGTATTGAAAATACTGGTTTGATCTTATCTCTGCCTGTTTATTTTTTCTACTTGATCTGTCTTGTTCCAAGAGAGTTGTTTATAAGTGTGTTTCTACTTAGGTCTCTCAGCAGCATGTATTCAGTATCTGTGTCTTCATAAGGGGGCAGTTAGGGTTATTTGGTGCATAAATATACATAAATATAATAGTTGTCTTGTGATTTTCGTGGCTTTTACTTGATAAGTTCTCTTCTTTACCACTTTAAATGCCTTTCCCTCAATTGTATCTATTTGACAGCTTCGTTATGCTTTTTTTTTTTTTTGAGACGGAGTTTCGCTCTTGTTACCCAGGCTGGAGTGCAATGGCGCAATCTCGGCTCACCGCAACCTCCGCCCCCTGGGTTCAGGCAATTCTCCTGCCTCAGCCTCCTGAGTAGCTGGGATTACAGGCACGCGCCACCATGCCCAGCTAATTTTTTGTAATTTTTAGTAGAGACGGGGTTTCACCATGTTGACCAGGATGGTCTCGATCTCTTGACCTCGTGATCCACCCGCCTCGGCCTCCCAAAGTGCTGGGGTTACAGGCTTGAGCCACCGCGCCCGGCCTCGTTATGCTTTTTTATTGGAACATTTTCCCCAGATACCTTTGTGCATGGCTTTAATGTTGCATTTCGAAATCTTTTTATTCCAGGTGTTTATGTAAAAAATATAGCTAGGCTTAGTTCAAGAGCCACATTTAAAATGTTACTATAATTAATTAAATTCACATGTATTGCTACGACTGGTATGTTTGGTCCTATTCTTTATGCTTTATTGAAAACTCACAAACATTTTTAACAAAATTTAAATGGTATTTTGAAAGTTTGTAGTTATTTTAGTGGCTATCTAGTTACCTTGGTGTATATACTAATTTTAATGTTCTTAGTTTCCTCTTTTTAAATTTAACATTTTATTATCTGACATAACATCTTATATTAGTAGTATTTAACTTCTTTTTAACTCTCTTTTCTATAAAACAGCAATTAGTTTGTTCTATTTTCCTCTTCCATTCTTTTTCTATTATCCCCTTTTCATTTAGTTGAGTTATAACTACTTTTCAATCACAAAATATATTATTTATGTATTATTAATCCCCCTTCTAATCCCTATATTGGTAGCACACCAAATTCATATAATCACACACATATATACACATATATATTCATACCAAAACACATATGTTTGTATCTCCACACACTCACAGACACACATGTACACACACCCCCACACACATATACATATATATATTCAATACTTTGCTTAACTTTTCTTATTCATCCCTTGATTAGATGATGCTCACCCTCTAAAGTGTTACTCTATATGGGCTTGTGGATGCAAAAATCTCTACTGTTTTGTATGTAGGAAACTGTTGTTCTAATCCATTGAAACATGGAGGGTAACTTTGTTAGATACAAAGATCTTGTATAACGCTTTCTTTTACTAGGGTCTTTAAAATGCTTTTCCTTTTTGTCTTTCTTTGAATGTCACTTTTGAAAATTCTGATTAATAGGCTAATATTTTTTCCTATTGTAAATTATTTAATTGTTTTTCTGGGAGCTTTGAATAAGTTTATCATTAAAATATATTATTTTAATAGTATTTATCTTAAAATTGGTAATTCTAGATTAATATTCAGTCACTATTTAGAGCATGTCAATAAGTAATTCAGGCCAAAGAAGAAAACAAAATAAAATAAA